AAATAAAATTTACTATCAATATGGTTCATCTGTTTCTAAAGCTTCCGTCAATGTTCTTGTTCGATTGATATTCATTGTCAATACCAATCTATTTTTCCACTGTAACAGTTCTCCCCAAGTGTGCGTTTATGTAGCTGTATATATGACACGCCTGATGTATTTTGTTGAGTGTAGCTCTATGGTAAGAGGGTAGTCGGTAATGGTCATAAATGGTATACATTCATGGGGAGGGTAGCAACTGTGCGCAGTTACCGTTCTCTGCCTGTTGGTAGCTGCTATTGGCTGCTGACCATACACACATTGTGTAGTGTAGGCTAGTATACCTGTCAGTGATTCCGAGTCCTGATCTACAGCCCGGTGACCGGGTCCCTGACCAGGCCTCGTGGTCTGGTCAACCAGGCTGATCGATGCGGCTGCTCGCAGCCTGGATTTATGAGTCGCAGCTCGTAGCACATGTATAGTGTGTGTGCGTAACACATGTATATAGGACATTCATAGAGCAAGTAGTATGTTTAAAGACCGTGTTGTTACTCAGAAAGCATGTAGTACCTGGACCATACCTGGTGAGGGTTTCAGGAGTACTTCTACTCACCGAGCCCAGCCTGAGGCCAGGTTTGACTTCTGATAACTTGGTCCAACAAGCTGTTGCAAGAACCTGTCCAAGTGCCTCTTGAATGCATCCACCTTCGTTATGGCAGTATTTCTTATCCTTGCTGGGAGGGTGTTGAACAGCCGTGGATCCCAGATGCAAAGTACTGTGAAACTACTATGCAAAGTATGTTCTGGTATCGTGTAGAGCACTAGATTGAAGATAGCGTACAATACATTCAGGTAGGATATAGTAGATTCAAGTAGTGTGTATTACGCTTAAGTGGCAGTTTATTCGGGTGGCGTGGAGTACAGTGACAGTAGTGTGTAGTAGTAGGTTGGTCGGGCCGCTCCAAGCAACAGCCTGTTGGAGCAAGCTGTGACGAGTGAAGCGTGGCCTTGAGCCGGCCGGGCTTGGGGAGTAGGAGTGCCACAAGCCCATCCAGGTACACCGGAGGCAGCGTGTAGTACCTGGCGACAGTGTGAGTACAGCAGGTGGCCTTGTAGCGTGCACGAGCGGGGAGACGGACAAAGCTCCCGGAGCCCCAAGGGCTGGCCTCCCACCACAAGGGCACGCCGGGTGTACTCACCTAATTGTATTCACCTAATTGTGCTTGCGGGGGTTGAGCTCTGGCTCTTTGGTCCCGCCTCTCAACCGTCAATCAACTGGTGTACATGTTCCTGAGCCTACTGGGCTCTATCATATCTACACTTGAAACTATGTATGGAGTCAGCCTCCACCACATCACTTTCTAATGCATTCCATTTGTCAACCACTCTGACACTAAAAAAGTTCTTTCTAATATCTCTGTAGCTCATTTGGGCACTCAGTTTCCACCTGTGTCCCCTTGTGCGTGTGCCCCTTGTGTTAAATAGCCTGTCTTTATCTACCCTGTCAATTCCCTTGAGAATCTTGAATGTGGTGATCATGTCCCCCCTAACTCTTCTGTCTTCCAGCGACGTGAAGTTTAATTCCCGTAGCCTCTCCTCGTAGGTCATACCTCTCAGCTCGGGTATTAGTCTGGTGGCAAACCTTTGAACCTTTTCCAGTTTAGTCGTATCCTTGACTAGATATGGACTCCATGCTGGGGCTGCATACTCCAGGATTGGCCTGACATGTGGTATACAAAGTTCTGAATGATTCGTTACACAATTTTCTGAATGCCGTTCGTATGTTGGCCAGCCTGGCATATGCCGCGGATGTTATCCTCTTGATATGTGCTGCAGGAGACAGGTCTGGCGTGATATTAACCAACAAGACTTTTTCCTTCTCTGACTCCTGAAGAATTTCCTCTCCCAGATGACGTGGTAGGGAGAGTGTGGGTGGTGGGTACACGTGGTAGGGAGAGTGTGGGTGGTGGGTACACGTGGTAGGGAGAGTGTGGGTGGTGGGTACACGTGGTAGGGGGAGTGTGGGTGGTGGGTGCACGTGGTAGGGAGAGTGTGGGTGGTGGGTACACGTGGTAGGGAGAGTGTGGGTGGTGGGTACACGTGGTAGGGAGAGTGTGGGTGGTGGGTACACGTGGTAGGGAGAGTGTGGGTGGTGGGTACACGTGGTAGGGAGAGTGTGGGTGGTGGGTACACGTGGTAGGGAGAGTGTGGGTGGTGGGTACACGTGGTAGGGAGAGTGTGGGTGGTGGGTGCACGTGGTAGGGAGAGTGTGGGTGGTGGGTGCACGTGGTAGGGAGAGTGTGGGTGGTGGGTACACGTGGTAGGGAGAGTGTGGGTGGTGGGTACACGTGGTAGGGAGAGTGTGGGTGGTGGGTACACGTGGTAGGGAGAGTGTGGGTGGTGGGTACACGTGGTAGGGAGAGTGTGGGTGGTGGGTACACGTGGTAGGGAGAGTGTGGGTGGTGGGTACACGTGGTAGGGAGAGTGTGGGTGGTGGGTACACGTGGTAGGGAGAGTGTGGGTGGTGGGTACACGTGGTAGGGAGAGTGTGGGTGGTGGGTACACGTGGTAGGGAGAGTGTGGGTGGTGGGTACACGTGGTAGGAGAGTGTGGGTGGTGGGTGCACGTGGTAGGGAGAGTGTGGGTGGTGGGTGCACGTGGTAGGGAGAGTGTGGGTGGTGGGTACACGTGGTAGGGAGAGTGTGGGTGGTGGGTACACGTGGTAGGGAGAGTGTGGGTGGTGGGTACACGTGGTAGGGAGAGTGTGGGTGGTGGGTACACGTGGTAGGGAGAGTGTGGGTGGTGGGTACACGTGGTAGGGAGAGTGTGGGTGGTGGGTACACGTGGTAGGGAGAGTGTGGGTGGTGGGTACACGTGGTAGGGAGAGTGTGGGTGGTGGGTACACGTGGTAGGGAGAGTGTGGGTGGCGGGTGCACGTAAAAAGTGTAAGTATACCAGGAAAGGAGATATAAGTTGTTAGTTGGGAGTTGACACAATCGCAGCCCGTCATCTCAAGTCGTCACAAAAATAATGTACTAAACTCCTCCAGTCGAAGACCCACGAATAGAAAACGTGACAGCCCGTCCAATTTGCCGGCCGCTACGATTTAATGTACATCATATTTTGGTCGGTGAGGATTTATACGGCAAAATGCGATGTAGTGTTTGTGAGGAGAGGTGCAGTTAGGGAAGGGTAGTGGCGAGGAATGGGGGAATGACTACAAAGTGACCTGTGATCGGGGACATACACTATGTACCAAGAGGGAACATCTCCAGGGTGAACTTACGGGCCACCTCTTAGCTGGCTTAATCAGTCAATTAATCTGTAGGGTGAGCGTCGGAGACAGTCTGCCTCAGAGGGGGAGTAATTATCGTGAATGAAGGCGCTAAGCCTTGAAGACTTAGCACAGTGAGTGCTGGAGAACCTGATGAGACTGATCAACCTGAATGGATGGATGGATGTAGAAAGAGGTTGGAAAAGGATGAGGGGGGCGGGGCGGGAGAGGGATGAAGGGTTGCAATTCTGGAAGAAGGGGTTTGGAAATGAGGGGAATGGAAAGTTGGGTGGCCTGTCCACCATGGGTTGGTATGAGGTGGGGTCGTTTGTTTGGTTTGTGTGGGAGTGTTTGTGTGTGTTGTGTAGGGTTGACAGTGCGGTGGCTGGATTGTGTAGTGTGATCTTAGTTGGTGTCAGGGTTCCTGTGAGCCAGAAATATATATATTGAGGTCTGGAGGTGTGATCGTGGGTGTGTGTGATCATTTTTTGTTGGAGAGTGATTCTTGCGGTTGTGTACTGCCACTCATGGAGTCGCTGGCTGTGTAGAGTGGTTGGTGGGGTTGCTCGTGTTCTGGGACATTAAGGTGTTTCGTGTGGTTCAGCTGTTTCTCGCTAAGTAGCAGAGTCTGAGCATCATTGGTATCATAAACAGATTTGAGTCATGATAAGTTGGGATCTTAAGCCGAAAAATCCATGTATTAATGTAGTGAATGACGTAAATATGATACTAGGACTCATACCTAGAAGTGTTAGCAGTAATAGTAATGTAAAAGGTACTAAGTTTTCTATTAGAATCTGAACTACATAATCTACTATTTTCTGTAGATTATGCACTTCAGCTTCTGGCCACCGTGTTATAGAATGGATATTGAGCGTGCACAGAAAAGGGTGACAAAGTTAATCTCAGGAATAAGGAAGCTCCCTTATTAAGAGATATAAGAAAGCTTAATTCACATTCCTAATAAAGACGAAGAGCATGAGGGGAGTGTGCTTGAAGAACACACATGGATGGAAGGGAATGACTAGAGGGATGTTAAGACGTTGGTAAATATATCAGTACTAAATACAACACGAAACGGTGGATACAAGTTGAGTAAATTTATATTCAGAAAACACTTGGATAAATATTGTTTTGGAAACAGAGTTATTGATTTATGGAATAAATTATTGGATAGCATAACAGACGTGTGATCGCTGGAGTGTTTCAAGCCCAAGTTAGACAAATACACGAGTTTGTGTGTAAATATCCCGTGCATGGACCAATAGGCCTACAGTTGCCGTTATTCTTGTTCTTACAGCAGATTAGTTCTGTATTACAAAAGCACAGCAACGTTGTTAATTTGACAGCTTTGTGTATGGGCGGGACCTGGGAGAGTGCGGAGACCTTAGGACACGACACTTTAAACTGACCATTTTCTTGACGGTGGGGAACCTTAGGAGGACGGGCGGCTGGGACACGACGCTGGTAATTATGACGGATACTGGAGGTGTGGACGGGCTGGGCTAGTGTAGCTGGCAGGCCCTAGCCAAGATGGGTAGGGAGTAGGGGATGGACATTGACGGTGACGAAATGATGATCGTACTCTGGGGACGGGTGGGGGAGGGGGGGGGGGGGTTGATAATGCGGAGGATGGGATTAAGTCAAGTCAAGGTCGGACAGATTCCACTCCCCCCGCCCTCCCCCTCCTGCAGTGGCGTCACCAACAAAGAGCTCAAGTATTAAAGTGTTGTGTTTCCTTCCCCAGGTGGATGCGGGCGCTATCCTCTACATCGAGAACAAAGGGATAGAGTCGTACGCCGACCCCAAGAACCCGCCTCTGCGGATTGGGCGGGTAAGTGTCCGCACGCCCACGGCCAGCTCGCGGGCGGCCGACCTGGTGGGCAAGGTGGTGCGGGCGGTGCGGGAGTTGGGTCCCGAGGGCGGCACGCTCAAGGACATTAGCACCCACCTGCAGAACCAGGGCAACAGCACCTTCGATGACCCCCAGGCACCCAACCTGGTGCGCCACGCCACCAAGCGAGCCCTCCAGCGGGGCTTCCTCGCCCAGAATGGCAAGGTCTTCACGCTCGGCACCCTCGCCAAGCATCGCAAGTCCTCGGGACGATCTCCAGCTGCCAAAAAAATATTGCTGGGCGATGACGACGACGAGGATGACCTTGGCATCTCGACGCACAAGCGCACGCTCAGCGGCGCCAGCGACTCCCACCTCCAGGTAAGTACTTAGCACCTAATATCTTAATAAGCTGATCCGGAACATCCCACGCAGCCCTCAGGTCACTGTTGTCAGTAGTTGGGGGACATTATTTACACATGTGCTGACCGCAGATGCCTGGGAAGTTATGCCTGGGCGAACTCTGTGCACCCGAACCTGAGGTTCACGATGGACAAGCATAACCAGGAACTAAATTTCTTGGACACGACGGTTTACCATCCACTCGATGGGACAGGGAAACACTTTTTTTTTTTTTTTTTGAGAAGGGGCAATTTTCACGTGTAAGAAAATCAGTTTAGTTTAGCGGACGCGTACTACTACTCTATGTATATATACTGGAGGGATCCTAGTGGTGGTATTACAGGCTATTCATGCCCGTGCCACCTCTTAGGTGGCTTAATCTTTATCAATCAATCAGTGGTGGGCCGTGGCTGTGGCTGACACCTCAACAACCAGGCTTGTAAGTTGTGTTGACTGATGCAGCTGCCAGGTGTAGCCTTGATGGCTGGTGTCGCCATATATGTTTGCACACACACACACTTAATGTTGGCTAGTTATCTACGTCACTTCCAAGAACAGCTAACTCATGTATACATACATGTGTATTAACAAACATGGTTAACGTCCTCTTTGTTAGATGTACTTAACTGCTTTTACTAGCGAGGCGTAGCTTGTGTTGGGATCTCTTTAGTGGGTCATGTTGCTAACTACTGCCAGTGGAAGGTCACGAGGGGAGGTCACGTGGAGGAGTCTTATTGTCTAAGGATACTATTTCATGATGGAGTCTAGCTGAGAGTGTAGTGATGTAGTCTAAGAATAAGACTACTGCCCCGAAGAGTGTAGGAGAGAGTGGGTGTGGTGTGATGTGTAGGAAGGTAGTGCTGGCAGGTGGTGGGAGGGAGCCTCCTGGTAATAGAGATGTGAGGACCTCGGTGTACTGTAGGGCTCGCCGTGATATCACCATTTTGTTCCCAGAAACTAGACCCATCCATCGACCCCCCCCCCTATCCTCGCCCCCTGGTAGGGGTGGTTACTGCTATGGTCCCTCTGTTTTACCTCGTGTGTGACGATTAGTTTGCAGATGTTAGTTTTTCCTTGTGTGCATGTAAGGAGAATACATTAGCTGATTGGGTTCATTGATTTGTTCCCCTTATTGTATCCTCACACCTGCAACCCCCTCTTTTTTATCATAATAGGTTCTCCTTTCCCATCTTTTAACCCCATTCGTGATTGCTACGAGAACTAAGAAAACTCTTCCCAGGAGACAGAGTTCGAGCCAGCGTGCACAGCTGGATATACCCACGCATTATGAATACAATAATCCACGTCCGTTACTATTGGTTACGGGATATTCATGCCCGTGCCACCTTTTGGGTGTATTGTGATAGTGAAGGTACCGTGTCTACTGACAACTTATGATGCACCACTGTTGTAACTGTAAGGTACCGCCACTACTGTGAACCTGTGCTGTGGCGACTGTTGCAAGCTTAAACTATGGCGGCTGTCGCAAATTGCTGTCCACCGACCACCTCGCTTCGTCCTCAACGTTCAGTCTGAAAATCGGGGTTTTGAATAATCGTCCCTCCCCCCCCCCTCCCCGGCTCCACCCCCCTCTTACCCCCCTTCCCCAGCTCAAAACACCCTCCCCCGCACCGGCCAACACACCCTCCTCCCGCACCCTCCACTGTGCACTATTCCGGGAGTTTGAGAGTGCATTGTTTGTAGCACAGTTGGTATTGCGTGTGTGTGTGTGTGTGTGTGTGTGTGTGTGTGTGTGTGTGTGTGTGTGTGTGTGTGTGTGTGTGACGCTGGTGGTGCAACTGTTGGGTGTGTTGCTGGAGGGCGTTTTGTTTTGTGATTGTGATTCGCTGTTGCTTTTGTTGGTGGTCTTAACGTGTGAGTTATCTTTTGTTCCTAGAGGGGACGGTAGCAGTTGTTGTCGAGGGGACGGTAGCAGTTGTTGTCGAGGGGACGGTAACAGTTGTTGTTGAGGGGACGGTAGCAGTTGTTGTTGAGGGGACGGTAACAGTTGTTGTTGAGGGGACGGTAACAGTTGTTGTTGAGGGGACGGTAACAGTTGTTGTTGAGGGGACGGTAACAGTTGTTGTGGAGGGGACGGTAACAGTTGTTGTCGAGGGGACGGTAACAGTTGTTGTGGAGGGGACGGTAACAGTTGTTGTGGAGGGGACGGTAACAGTTGTTGTCGAGGGGACGGTAACAGTTGTTGTGGAGGGGACGGTAACAGTTGTTGTGGAGGGGACGGTAACAGTTGTTGTCGAGGGGATGGTAACAGTTGTTGTCGAGGGGACGGTAACAGTTGTTGTCGAGGGGACGGTAACAGTTGTTGTCGAGGGGACGGTAACAGTTGTTGTCGAGGGGACGGTAACAGTTGTTGTGGAGGGGACGGTAACAGTTGTTGTCGAGGGGACGGTAACAGTTGTTGTCGAGGGGATGGTAACAGTTGTTGTCGAGGGGACGGTAACAGTTGTTGTCGAGGGGAGGGTAGCAGTCGTCATCAAGGGGGTGTTAGTATATCTGTGTTTATAATGAACGGTGTTTTGTGTCATAATGAAGCAGAGGATTGATGTTATCAGAAGACAGGTGACTCACAGTGGGTCAGGACCTCACCTGGCCTCCTCCCCCCCATCACCTGCCCTCCCCCCCCCCCCTCCCCTCGTGTCCTCACACACCCCTTGCTCCAGCACCAGGCCGCCTTCACCTGCACCTTCCTGCCCCCCCCCCCCTCCTTGTACCCTTGCCCGTACTAGCGTGTCCAAAACCACACAATCTCTGCCTGTCGCTCCCTGAAGCTGGAAACTTTGTCCACTCAGCGTCGAGGGATAGACGCAGCTGCACTCATGTCTCCCTCCCCCCTGTGTCCCGCACCCCCTCCCCTGCCCAGCAGCCGCAGGTGCGTAACTATCTCCTCCCCCATCCCCCCCCCCCACGCCCCAAGCCGGTAACTCCCTCCCTCCCTTATGACAATCCTCCTTGTGTGTGCTTAATACACTATGGTCGTTTGTCTACTCCGTCTCACACACACACACACACACACACACACACACACACACACACACACACACACACACACACACACACACACACACACACACCATTACCAGAGGGTAATGGTAAGGGGCGAAAAGTCGGACTGGCGAACAGTAACAAGTGGAGTACCTCAAGGATCGGTGCTGGGACCAATCCTCTTTCTAATTTACGTAAATGATATGTTTACAGGAGTGGAATCATGCATGTCAATGTTTGCGGATGACGCAAAATTAATGAGAAGAGTTGTGACAGACGAAGATTGTAGGATCCTCCAAGAGGACTTAAACAGGCTGCAGAGATGGTCAGGGAAATGGCTACTGGAGTTTAACACCAGTAAATGTAAAGTTATGGAAATGGGATCAGGTGACAGGAGACCAAAGGGACAGTACACAGTGAAGGGGAACAGCCTACCTGTAACGATTCGAGAAAGAGACCTGGGAGTGGATGTGACACCTAATCTAACTCCTGAGGCACATATAAATAGGATAACGACAGCAGCGTACTCTACACTGGCGAAAATTAGAACTTCATTCAGAAACCTAAATGAGGAAGCTTTTAGGGCGCTTTACACTGCCTACGTGAGACCCGTCTTAGAGTATGCCGCGCCATCATGGAGCCCCCACCTGAAGAAACACATAAAGAAACTGGAGAAGGTTCAGAGGTTGCGACGAGGCTTGTCCCAGAGCTACGAGGGATGGGATATGAAGAGCGGCTGAAGGAACTGAACCTTACGACACTAGAGAAAAGAAGGGAGAGAGGAGATATGATAGGGACATATAAAATACTCAGGGGAATTGACAAAGTGGAAATAGATGAAATGTTCACACGTAATAATAACAGAACGAGGGGACATGGGTGGAAACTGGAAACTCAGATGAGTCACAGAGATGTTAGGAAGTTTTCTTTTAGCGTGAGAGTAGTAGAAAAATGGAATGCACTTGGGGAACAGGTTGTGGAAGCAAATACTATTCATACTTTTAAAACTAGGTATGATAGGGAAATGGGACAGGAGTCATTGATGTAAACAACCGATAGCTAGAAAGGCGGGATCCAAGAGTCAATGCTCGATCCTGCAAGCACATATAGGTGAGTACATATAGGTGAGTACACACAATCGCGTTTATTCCAGTTTCTACTAGGGGCCTCGTGGCTAAGTGGATATAGCTCGGGAGTCGTAGTCTTAATTAATGGCCCGGGGTTCGGTTCCCGGCGGAGGCGGAACAAACTTGGCAGTTTCTTTCACCCTGATGTGCCTGTTCGCCTAGCAATAAATGGGTACCTGGAAGTTAGGCAGCTGCTACGGGCTGCTTCCTGAGGGTGTGTTTATGTGCTCGTGTGTAAGAGGGTGTATTATGTCTACTATATATATATATATAGACATAATAGTGGACAAAATTATATTGGTTAGAAAGGCGGGGTCTAAGAGGTAATAGCTCGAACCTGCAGACACAATTGTGTGTAGTACACGCCCACCCTTTGTCCACGTGTATTGTGGTAGGCCATTTATATGACGTGTGTGTGTGTGTGTGTGTGTGTGTGTGTGTGTGTGTGTGTGTGTGTATGTGTGTGTAAGAAAGGCTGCAGGAAAGCGCAAGCCATAGATCACCAAGTACTCTATATGACCTGACCAGGATTCAAACCCATGACGTCCAGGATCACCCTTAAACGTACACAGTACCGTGACCACCGCACCAACTGATCGTTTCGTCTAGACGATCAGTTGGTGCGGTCGTCACGGTACTGTGTACGTTTCGGGGTGATCCTGGACGTAATGCGTTCGAATCCTGTAGTTATATATACATAATAAATCTGTAAATGGAGTTCGGTGCATCTGTAAATGCCCGATACCTGAAGAGGCAGGGCCCAGGAACAGCAGGTAAACCATACAGGTAGAGCTAGGCGAGTACACACACACACAGGCAGAGACCGGATGAGAGTGCTAAGTTAGGGAG